TTATGAACCTTATTTTAATGATTTTTAGTCTATGCGGAGTATTACGCCAGCTTATACCAAGATAAAGCCAATGGATCTTCAATGGTTGAAGACGACGAATTTGAAGAGGTAGAAATAGAAGGCGGTGAAGATGATGCACCTAACGGTGGTGATGAGTACAACGATGATCAGGATGAATTTATGGCCGGTGATGATCTAGAGGAAGTTGACATCAACGCCCAGAATGGACATGTATATTCCGATGATGATGAATTCGACGCCGTTGACTTGGAAGAATCGATGAGATCCAAGTAATTTAGTGAATCTATCACCTGCGTTATTCATACATAGTACGCATATTTTAATAAATTGACATTTTTTTTTTAGCAAACGAACACGAAAAGATCTTCTTGAAGGTTATGGAAATTCTAATGGAAATCACTACTGGTAGGTTCCAGTTTTCACAAACTCCCAAGATACTCGTATTTTCTATTCATCAACTAAATCCACCGAATCTATCCTTAGATAAAAGGTAATGCATATATATGCACGTGTGTGTACGTATTACGTGTAACAGTCGTATCCTTCATTCAAAGACAATTTCAAAACGACATGATTTGAATGTTGTGCATCGTTGTTTTTTTTGTTCAATAATGCATTGTTACTGTAAATGGTCAATAGATAATGTATTAAATCCTTTTAGGATATAAAAAATGATGGCAGGAACTTTGTATTTTACATTACTCTTGAATATTTTAGGAAATTATACAACTTTGAAATTGATATTGAAACACATGTAAATCATTTTATAACAAAGTTTTTGTATCAGAATAAGTTACTTCGACGAATCTTTCATAAAGTCGTCGTCCAAATCTGGAGAAATAAAGAAAATTTCAATAAATGTTTCATACGCAAAATAAAATGACATTCAAAGATACCTTGAGCATTGTGCCCCCCAGTTGAAACTTTTTCGGTACGATGGGTTTGTTTTGACTCATTGGAATTATCAATATCAGTTTCTATGGTAAATTTGAAAGAAACGAAAATAATTGAATATCACCTAGGAAATACATATAGAGGATATTAGGATTTCATACCTTCGTCATATATTTTATATGGTGCTACACTCTCCTCACCAACCTCTTTCTCTGATAGGTCATTTATTAATGAATTGTTATTCTGATCACTTCTGATGATCTTTATAGGCTCACGATTACTATGGCGATCAATATCCCTGGTAACATCAGTACCATATGACCCATACTCAGGCCGAGATCTTAACGGTGAGATGTAAGGATTATTTTGGCGACGACTGTGATTGTTTAAGAAATCCTCGTCGAGAATATGATTGTCGGCCTCGTCACCAGGTAAACTGGTGTATAATGGAGTGTTTGATTGACCTTGGTCGTCACGTGACTGTTTAAACTTATCATACCATTCTTTGACCTTCTTTTTCGTCGCTGTTAAATGAAAAAGTGAAAATGAGTACCGTCAGGCGCAATTGTTCCCGATACGAATCAATCATTGTGCATACTGTCGGCTGCTTGAACAATCTTTTCTTTGATGATGGGTAGCTCTTCTGCAATAAGGGATTAATAACAAAAAAGTCAGTTGAGATATGGCGTCAAGAACTTTCGCCGTTGAGCGAGAACTTTTGATCAATGCTAACCTGAAAAGTCAGGAAAGCCGGAAGGTGATGATTGTTGTTGTTGTGGCTGTTGATTAACAGGGTTCGGTGGTGCGCCATATTCTCCTGAAATTAATCAAAAATGAAGTGTTAAGTGACTACTGTCAAACTCAATCGATTGAACCGAATCTTTCAAATATTCAAACATACTATCTTCTTCAGCGGCCAACTGTCTTGCCAACTCCTCATCACGTTCGATCTGTAACCTTGATGAAGATGTCACAAATCCATCCTAAGTGTTACATTAGACGTAAAATTATTTAATCATAAATTACCATATTTCTATACATGATAACATGCACTTCTTTCTTCTGGAGAAATACGTGCGTTCGCCAATACTATAATATAACACCTACATCGGCTTGAATTGGAATCGCTTCTTCACTTTTAAAGTTTGGATCAGACATGCCCAGTAAAGTGGTTATGCTTGCGCCCATGTCTCCATTATTCGCGCTCAAAACAGCTTCGCAAACTTCAGCGTCAATGCCAGGGAACATTGAGGTTAACTGTTGAAGGCCTTTGGTGCTTTGATCCATGACTGTGAATTTAGAAAACGTGGTATCTCTTGAGTTGATTTTGCTTCATAGCACCAGCCTGACAGTATATTGTGTATCACACACATTACCAAATCCGGAATTTTACTGGAACATTAGGCGAAACATTTTTTAAGGCACTGTCGATCATCTAGCGAACATCAAGTTATTATCCAAACCGTCTCAGTACATTGAGGCATGTTATCAACAAAGTTAAAAATTCTCCGAATATTTCTCCTGAAGGGTCCCTCCTTTCTAAGCAAAAAGATTTTCAATTTTCTCTTGTATGAAATTATTATTTCTCATTCACCGTTATTCCGGTATTCAGTCCAACAGAATCACCTTCATTAGGCATGAATGAATGAGCCCGTCACGTGATAACACGTACCACGTACGTCGTTTCTTACAAAGAGGGACTCGTCCCCAGGCCCCAAGTTTCGGATAAAGTTATAAAATTTTTTTTTTTTTCAAATCCTCTTTTAGGACTGAATGTAGGAAAAAAAAAAAATTATTTCGCGAAAAAATTTTTCCAACAATCAGTACCTAGATTCAGTCCAAATTTGATACTCCCTTCTTTTTTTTCATGCTGATAAGAACCTTTTTTGCAGTTAGGGCATTTTTCTCCGAAAAAGACGTTTGCTTTTTGCATTAATATTTTTAATCAAAGGACCAGGAACTTACGTAATCTGCAGAATGAACACAGGTGATCGCATGGAATTCGGAAAAACCAGGACCACTGATTTTTTAGTTTGTTTTATCTTAATAGGTTATTCACGTCCTTCTCACATCATGATAAAACGATGATGCTCCTCGAACGATCCTTGTTCTTGGAATTCTTTTATTCTCTTTGACCGATTTCTTCCCATGAATGACAAATTAGGAACCTCATATGCACAATCCTTGTATCCGGTAGCAGGTCACAGTCACAACATGAAGATTGACTTGCACAGAGCAAAAATAATCACACTCTTTTCCTTATAAATAACTCGCCAACCACAAGGTATTTGGATCGTCCATTCTGTAATGATCTTCCATCCTCTCATCAATATTTAAGGAATTTTTGACGACTATCAAACTTGCCGGTTTCCATTCCGACGGTGGGTTGATTATGGATACGAACAAAAAAAAAAACCTTGTTTCACTACAATAATTACAATAATTACAATATATACCGAGTACAATGAAATAAAACAATTGG